CACACCCGTCAGTTCAGCTTATGTTGCCCAGCCGAACCCCTGGGGGGGTCAAGGAGCAGCTGCCCTGTCCCTTGAGTTCCTGGGGTTATGGGGCGAGGTGGTGGCCTGCAGTGGGGATCCCGAGGGCATGTCTGGGCGGGCTTTGGGGGTCCGGAAAGGGGTCCCAGAGGAGGGGTGCAGGCTGGGCAGGAAGAGGGTGTTCTGGACAAGGGGGAGGCCCGGAGCCAGGGCAGGGCACCCGCGCTGTGAGAAAAGATGCTCTTGGGTCCACAGCCAGGCCAACTGGCAGGCCAGGGTACTCACGGTCAGATCTGAGGAATGAGCTCAGAGACCTGGAGGCTGGGAGTGGTCAGGGGGTGGCCTGAGCTGCGGGGAGGTAGGTGCCTGAGGCCTGGAGAGCTTCCCTGGGGGTAAGGGTAGGTGGAGGGTCAGGGAGGGGCCCAGGGAGCACCCCCCCACCCGGCACCTGCTCACCCGCACGCGCACTCGAGTCCTGAGCGGCCCCGGAAACCTGAGCGGCTGCCTGCCCAGGCACTCCGGCCACCCGCCATGTTTAATTGAGCACCCTCAGCCGCTAGCCACCTACACTGTGGTCGCGGCCCCAGGCCGTGGCTGGGTGGGGGGGCGTCCTGGGGCCTGGCCCTTGCCCTCACTGCCCCCTAACCCACAGCCCTACTGCAGGATGCCCGAGGTAAAGCGAGGCGAGGCCCTGGGTTGTCGATGCGGGGGGCGGGGGGTGCGCTCGGGGCATCGTGGGCCTTCTGTGTTCTCGCGGGGAGGGTGGGAGGGCAGGTCCACCCTTGGCCTTCTCACTCGCTTCGGCTTGGCCCCTGCGCCCTGTCCCTGGGCCCTACGGGGGTGGGGGTGGCTCCAGCTAGCTCTGGAATGTAAAAGCAAACACATCACTCTGCCACCAGCCCTATGGACGCCACAGGGAGAAGGGGAGAAAAAACAAACGTCAGCCTCTCGCTCGGGGAGGGAGGGGGGAGGGGGTTCCTGGCAGCGCACCCCCCTAGGGATAGCAGTCCAGGACAGCTGTCTTACCTGGCTGCTCCTAGGTCCCTGGCCTGGGCTCAGCGCTGCCCTTGAGCAGATCGTGTTAACACCCCTGTAAAGCCCCTGGTCCCATTTGAAGTTGTTTTGGGTTTGGAAACTGAGGCTTTGCTCAAGATCCTGCTGCTGGAGCTCAGTCACAGGCACCCTACCAGGGCCCCCAGGCATGGGTACAGAGGGTTTGTCCTGAGACCTGGGGCTGCCAGGCGGGGCGTGATGTTGAGCGTGGGGTTCGGGTTCCTCTAGCCCACCTCCACTGCAGCTGCATTCCGGGGGCCAGAGGCCTGGCGGGCTGGGTCAGCGGCCTTGGTGGGGGATGATGGTGGGAGATCAGCGCTGAGCCTGGTCTCATGTGCCTGTAGGATGTTGGTGGGCCCCTGAGGGAGCTACGCCCTCGGCTGTGCCACCTCCGAAAGGGTCCCCAAGGCTACGGGTTCAACCTGCACAGTGACAAGTCCCGGCCGGGACAGTATATCCGCTCCGTGGACCCAGGCTCACCTGCTGCTCACTCTGGCCTCCGCGCCCAGGACAGACTCATCGAGGTACCTGTCATGGAGGCTTTGGGGTGCTGGGTGTCCCTCAAGTGTGTGTCTGGGCCTCTGCCCCCAACCTGAGTGTGTGTCTGGGCCCATGTTCCCCCCCGTGTGTGTCTAGGCCTGTGTCCCCCCAAGTGTGTGGGCCCATGTCCCCCGCAAGTGTGTCTGGGTCCATGTCCCCCCCACCCCGAGTGTATGTCTGGGCCCACGTACCCCCCTGAGTGTGTATCTGGGCCCGTGTCCCCCCCACCCCCAGTGTTGTCTGGGCCCGTGTCCCCCCTACCCCCAGTGTGTGTCTGGGCAGGGAGGTCCTTGCTGGGAAGAGGAGAGATGCTGGGAACTTGAGCTGGCATTCCTCTTGCTGCCATGGCTGGTGACAACATTGATGAATATTTGATGCCACACCTGGCTGGGTGGCTCAGGGGGCCCGCAGGGGCCTGACTTCCGGCAGTGCTGACCCCATGCTGCTGGTGGCAGGTGAACGGGCAGAATGTCGAGGGGCTGCGCCACGCAGAGGTGGTTGCCAGCATCAAGGCGAGGGAGGATGAGGCCCGGCTGCTGGTGGTGGACCCTGAGACGGACGAGTACTTCAAGCGGCTACGGGTCACACCTACTGAGGAGCATGTGGAAGGTGGGCTGCTGCCTGGGGGCCTGGGGATGGGGTGGAGCATAGGGTGCTGGGCAGCCACTGACATCCTGTTCCCACAGGCCCACTGCCATCACCAGTCACCAATGGGACCAGCCCTGCCCAGGTAAGAGGGTGGGAATGGACCGGGTGGGCCCAGGAGACCATAGGGGCACCTCTAGGGATCCCCAGGCCTGGCCTCAAGATCTCCTTGTGTTGGTGTGACCGTGAGACCCAATCTGGCCCAACCACTTCTAGCTCTCATGCTCCCTGTGGGTCCTGTCCTGGGTCAGCCACACCCCAGCCCCATGCGGCTGTTTTGCGGGTGCCTCTGCCCAGTGCTGGCTGGCGATCTGGAGTCTCACTCCACCGTCACTCCTTGGGAAGCTGGCCCTGGCTTCACCCCAGGGGATGCTCGTGTGGCTGATTCCTGTTGTGAGCCGGCCAGGGCTGGCTCCCCAGCCCTCCACAGCACCTGCCCACTTGCTGCCGGTTGTCCGGCGTCCTGCCCAGGCTGGGCCTGGAGTACAGTAGAGGCTTGGAGCCTCCTGCCAAATGGAAGACTAGATGCAGCTCTGATGTGCGTGTGGGCACACGTCTGCGTGTGCGCCCGTGGCTCCCGGGCAGGGTCCCTGAAGCCACAACTTGCCCTTGGTTTCCCAGGTCAACGGTGGCTCAGCGTGCTCGTCGCGAAGTGATCTGCCTGGCTTAGACAAGGACACTGAGGTAGCAAGTGCCTGCCCACCCCACTGCTGTGCTCACACATGGGGGGTCAGAGGCTTTGGGGGTGGGCCTCTGTACAGCCTGGGCAGTGGGGTCACCACCTCTAGGATGCCCTCTGGGGCCCGCTGCCCCAGCCCCACCAGGAGGCCTGTGGGGATATGAGCTGCCCGGGAGGGGTCACCCGACGAGGGGCTTGGGTCCGGGACTCACTCTGGCCACCTGCCTGCTCTGCCTGCCCCCCCCATCCAGGACAGCAGCACCTGGAAGCGGGACCCCTTTCAGGAGAGCGGCCTCCACCTGAGCCCCACGGCGGCCGAAGCCAAGGAGAAGGCGAGAGCCACCCGGGTCAATAAGCGGGCACCACAGATGGACTGGAACCGGAAACGCGAGATCTTCAGCAACTTCTGAGCCCCTCCCTACCTGTTTGCACGGCCCGCAGGCCTCGCCCCACAGGCCCAGCCCAGAGTTCCCCAAGCCTCAGTGGACTGGAGGGGGTGCCTCCTCACCCCCAGAAGCCGTGCTGGTCCCACCACCACCCAGGAACCAATGTGCGCCCCAGTGAGCCCCGTCCTGCCCCCCTACCTGCTGGGTGCTGGATAGGGGAGAGGGGGCCCCCCCGAGATAGAAGAGAGGGACAGAGAGAGGCAGTGGTGACCGTGGGCCCGGCCCTTTTGCTGCTCTGCCCGGGCCTGCTGACTTAAAGGAATTTGTGTTTTTGCTTTTCTTCCAAAAACAAAAAAAGAGAGAGAGCTCCAGTTCCACACATGTTTCCACTTAATACGAGTCCCGCCCCCGCCCCTGCCCCCGCAGGACGCCTCTCTAAGTAATTGCAATAAAACAAACCTTTCTCTGCAAACCATTTCCTCCCCACCCCTCAGCAGCAGCCATCCCGAGTGGGCGCCCCTGGGCACTTCCAGGGACAGAGGAAAACGTAGGGGGGCCAGACTGTGGTTGTGGGGGCTTCAGTGTGACGCTGGGGAGGCCAGCTGTGGCTGTAGGAGCTGCCCCTCCGCCCCCTCCCTGCTGGGGGCGGAGGTCACCAGGCCAGGCCCCCATGTCCCTGCTCAGCTGTGGTCTGGGGCACGGGGCCTGGGCTCCAGGGGCCCAAGGATGGAGGCCCTGTGTCCCTGAAGAGGGTGGTCTCTGGACAGGCCTCTTGTCCCTGCGCCACAGCCGCGAGGCAGGGGGAGCGTGGCTGTGCGAGAGCCTGCCTGCCCCCAGGAGACCCCACCCACTCTCCCTTTCCTGCTGGCTCCGGCCCCAACTGACATTGCTGTCTGCCCCGTAAGCCATAGCGCATGCGCGCTCTCCTAATAAACAGGCCTTCCTCAGACCCGTGGCCGCCTGTCCTTCCTGAGACCTCACTTGTGGGTGGGGGGCTGTGGTCTGGGCAGGAAGGCAGCAGCTAGGGAGCCCCACTCTCAGCTGCTAGAAGCAGAGGCCCATTCCCAAGCCTCTCCCACTCCATCCACCCGGCAGTCAAGCCTGACCCCTCTCCGCTTCTGCTGTCTCCCCCTCCCCAGCTCCCTGGAGACCCCCAAAACTTGGAGCCCTGCTCCCTCCTTCATTGGCACACCCTGGGGCCCTCGCTAGCTTCTCCCTTCCCCTGCCCTCCATGCCTTCTGGATCCTTGATGCCCCTGCCCTCACACAGCGCCCCCCCCCCACTTCAGCAGGTACACATGGGTCAGGTCTATGTCCTGTGGCGCCCGGCCTGGGCCTACTGGTGTTACTCTGCAGGCCAGGTGGCTCTGTAAACATGGGGTGGGGCCTCCTGGCAGAGAGCTCTCAGGGTGCCAAAGTTCAGGGGACGGGTGTAGATCTGCATCCCCAGCCAGCTGTCCAGGTGGGAGGAGGCCCGGGTCTCCAGCGGGCTTCCCACCATCCATCTCTTCTGTCCCAGGCTCCTGCACACCCGTCACCCCCCCCCCCCGCCCAGTCCACAGCCGAGATTTTCACGTCCCCATCTCAGCCTCCCAGGTAGCCCCTTCAGACACACAGCTCACGCATGTGCTTCCCGGCTTGCCCCCACGCCCCAGGGGTAAGACGTCGCCAGACACTCACTGCAAACAACTCCCAAGCTTTATTATAAACGGGCCGTGGCTCCCCAGCAAAGGCATGTGTAGGCCAACGCACGGTGGCCGGGCCGAGGCTTCACGGCCCGCAGAGGCTGCGTGCGGCCGGGCACAGGCTTCGGTTGAGGCAGGCCTGGCATTGCGGGTGGACGGGCAGACACGTCTGCTGGCCGAAGCCCACCAACAGTCCGTTGATCTCACTCCACAGCTCCCTGTGAAGGTGAGAGGTCAGCAGGGGAGGGAGACCGAGGGCAGCCCCCCCCAGCCCCCACCCTGCCGCACCGGGGCAGCCAGGCTTCCAGCGCCGCACGAGTCTTCTCCGGGGACTTGGTCGCTGTCTTGGTCCACCCGAGTCTGTTGGCGATTCTGTGCACGTGCGTGTCCACCGCTGTGGGAGACAGGACCGGCTCATCACAGGGCGTGCTGGCTGGACCCAGGCCCTGCCCACAGCCCCAAGCCTGGAGCCTGAGTCTCCCCTGCTCCCATCCCCGGGGCTTCCACGGAGGGCAGGTCAGCGGCTTGAGCGAGAGGGCAGGGCCTGCTAGCTGGGGTGCAGGCAGCGGTGTCTCCTGGCCCAGGAACTGGCTGTGAGTGCCAGGCTGGGTACTCACGGCTGGGCCCAGCAGGCCAGTGGGAGGTCACGGCCCCCAGTGCCCGCACCTACCACGGCATGGCCAGGGACAGAGCAGGGCGTGGGGCCAGGCCAGCTGCAGCTGTCCTCTCCATGGGCCGCGGTCCTGGCTCCCCTGGGCCGGCCACCCCAAGGCTCGGCCTGGGCACCTGCTCTCCTTGCAAGCTGTAGCTCCTGCCTCCTCTCGGCTTTGCAAAAGAGAACCTGAGCCCTACACCTGTTCCCTTCCCCTGCTACTAATGGTCTGGAAAAAGCCTCAGGCCCTCCCCAGATGCTGATGGAGGGCACCCTATGGGCACAGGGAGCACATGCAGGTGCAGGGGTCATGCTAGTGGGTCACCACGGCTCCGCTTCCTCTCCTGTACCACAGAAATGATCATACTGCCTGTCCCCCAGAGGTGACCAAACCCTTGGTCCTCCCCCAGAGGCCGAGCCTAGGGCCACGGCACACCATGCGAGCCTCCTGCAGGCAGGTCCTCTGCATGCTTTCCCAGCTTGGTGGCCAAAGCTCCAAGTGGCTGAGCGTATTGCCTCGTGGTCGCCCAGCTGGGACGGCAGAGCTGGGATTGGCTGCTGTAGCCCACAGCTCTGGCTTTCTAATTGAGAGGCTGCTTCCCGGCGAAGTCCCTGAGAGGCAGGGCCCACAGACATCCAGAAAGGGTGACATTCCGACTCTCCCTCCTAGCATGTCTCCTGCTCCGAAAGGCCTGCTCCCTGCGCTGTGGGCCCATCCGCCACAGATGTGCCAGACCCCTCCTGTGACTCGGGACTCGGGCAGCAAAGACAGCAGCCCAGATAAGCTCAAGCATCTGCTGAGAGCCTGTCCGCTGCAGGACCAGGGGCTGCGGCCCTAGCCCCTGCCTGGCCCATCGCCGGTCTCTGGGGCTGCTGGGCTCTAGCCTAGCGGCCCTTCAGCCCAAGCGCAGTGCTAAGAAGGGTCCCCACCCCAGGGAGCAGGCTTTGGGAGCTGGGAAGCGCTAGGGAGATTTCTGCCCCGCTCCCCGCCCCCTGCAGAAGTTCCGGAGGAGCACCAGGGTAGGGGCATACAGAGAGGCTGTGGGTCGGGCCCCAGTCTCTGGGGTTTCTCAGAAGCCCCAACTGTCTGGGCAAAGACCTGAAGAAGCAGCTGCAGCCTAACCCAGGGTCTTACTTCACGGACACCACCAATGTCAGGAAATGGATTCCAGGAGGGGCTCTCCCCAGCGCCTCCTCCCCTGGCATCCCCCTGCCTTTACCGTGCCTCCCCCATGGGCCCATTCTTGAGCCTTCCTCTACTGGCCCCCTCCCCCACCTGATGCCGGTGTTGTTCCTTCTGCCCGGATGGCACTTTCTCCTCCCAGCCTGGTCAGCCCCCCTCACTCTTCAGCTCTTGGCTGAGTTATCACCTCCTTCTAGGAGGTCTCCCCAGATGCCCCAGACCGGGCCAGCTCTGACAGTGCCATGCACGCCCCCCAGGAGTGTTTCTACCTCACAGGTAAGGAGTTATGTGCTCAACCTCTTTCTTCGTGCCTAGCACAGACCTTGAATCCATCCCCAGGGCCTCTCACAGAGCCCAGTGCAGGGTAGGTGTTCAGCAAACTAGAACTCCTTCCATTAGTACCCACCTGTAGGTGGGGCAGGCCTAGCTCAATGTGGGAAACATCTTTCTGACACTTTGGGCTAAATTGTGGGTGAGGGGACTTGAGCTGGGGTCACAGACTACAGGACGTGGCCAGCCCTGCCCTCCCTGTGTATGCCACTCACCGATGCCAGACACAGTGCCCCAGGCCACTGCCATGGCCAAGTGTGCCATCTTGGGCCCAACGCCCGGCAGTGCCACCAGTTCTGCCACAGAAGCTGGGATGTCCCCGCCATAGCGCTGCTGCAGGATGGCACTGGTCTGCTTGATGTACTTGACCTTGCTCTGAAAGACGGAGGGGGGTGGTCAGCCCTGGAGGTGGAGGGTGTAGCCCTACTTGGGAGGATGAGTCCTGAGGGAGACCCACAGGTGTCCAGAGCTGCCTGTCACCTGCCCTAGACACACTCAGAGGCACCTGTTTGTCCCTGTCCCCCCAAGTGGTGGGAATGAGCCACGGGCAGCAGGGAGACTGAGGGAGGCCCAATGCAGGCCTGGACCAGTGACGTGTGTGGGGTCTAGCTCAGGTCCCCTCCCCCAGAGGCCAGGTAAGTTAGGCAGGGCCAGCCATGCCAGGAACTGGGCTCAGCAGCACCTGGACCTTCAGGAAGGAAGACTGGAGTCTGGGGCTCCCCCGCCAGCCGCCAGGCCAGCTGGGTGGCTCCCATTCTGTGCCTGAGTAGAGAGGACTATTTAAAACCCATTTGACAAACTGCAGCCCACGCCAATGCCAAGGGGAAGCAGCCCCACCCGCCCGGCTGCCTTCAACAGAGCCGCCCACTCGCCACCCAGTGCTCTAGGGCCTGTTGGGGCTCCAGAGGGAAGGGGGTGACGCACTCCAGGGAGGCTTGGAGTAAACAAAGGGAAAGGCGGGTGGGCAGCCTCAGGGAGGAAGGGAAGCGCCAGTCAGCTGGGTGGGGAGGTGGAGGAAGGAAGGGGTGGGCTGCAAACAGGAAAGGCCAAGGAGGGAGGGCCCATAGCCCTGGCCCCATTTGCTGGTCAGATGGGCAGGGGGCTCTACTGCGAACTCACATCCAGGTGCCTTTGGCCTCAGATGCCCCACCCAGCCTCCTGTACCCCCACAGCCTCTCCTTGGCCTCCTGATGTCTTTCCCAGGCCTGTGGGCTCACCCTCCAGAAGCCTACGGGGTAGATGAGCGTGCCCAGCGTGCTGTCATCTGTCTGCAGGATGCTGTCCACTGTCAGGCCCCGAGCGCGCAGCCGCTGCATGGCACCTGCTGTTACCTGGTCTTTGGTTTGGCTGGAGAGCATCAGTGACAGCAGCACCTGGTACCTCCGCACCTGTTTGCACGGTGACAGGGACCAGGGTAGTGGCAGGTCCTGGGTGCTCACTGTGGGCCGGGCCCCCGCCAAACCCTTTACCACCTCCATCTGTTACCCTGGCCAACGTGTGGGACATCAGCCTCCCACCCACTCTGGCCAACGGACTGTGTGAGGGGTCCGGCCTGGGCCTCTTTTGTTTTCACATATGTAACATGGGGACAATAACAGTGCCTGCCTCACAAAGATTAATGGAAGGCTTAAATAAACGATCACAACACTTACAATCACACCTGGTGCTCGACAGCCAATGCCTGCTAATGTGATTGCTGTTGCCTTGTGGATTATCCTGCCCATCTCACACACAAGCAAACGGAAGCCCCGAGAAGTTCGTGCACCCAGGTTACTGGTAGTGGAGTTGGGATTAGAATCAAGCTGGTCTAAGAACCAGGCTCCAAAGCAGTGAGGTGTAAGGAACTTTTTCTCTCTCAATAAATATTACAAACTCCCCTGGTAGGTCAGGACTGTGCTGGTGGAAGACAGAGCATGAAGCCCCAAGCCACAGGTAGTCCTGACCCGCCGAGTGGCCACCGTGAAGCAGGTGATACTGCCCTGTGCTCTGAGACCCAGGTGCTGTCCCCTCGAGGTGCCGCCTGCCGGTGAGGGTGCCAGTCAAGAGCTGCCAGGGTCAGGCTGTGCCCTGACAGAGGAAGGAAGTTTCTTGTCCAGAAGGCAGTCACCAGGCAGATGGGGTGCCTACCTTTGGGGGTGCACTGGGGTCATAGCAGTGCTCAGCCCCCAGCTGGTCCACAGGCGCATCCTTCCCACTCCTCATGGTACGGATGTTCACCAGCTGCTGCTGCCAGTCCCGGGGCTCCCAGCCTGGTGCCTCTGGGGGTTTGGCGCCTTCTCCTTTCTCATGATCTGAGGCTTCGTAGGTGACACTCAGTTTCTGTGTCTTCCGCTGACGCTTTGTGGGGCTGTGCCTTTTCTTTCCTTCTGCAAAGAAGTGCCATTCAGCAGGGGCCACAGGTGAGGGTGGGCGTGGGTGTTGTCCCGCCTGCTACCACCCATCATCATTCATTCAACGACCATCCATCATCTACCGCAGCTGGGGCTGCTCTGGCCTCTGCAGCATGTGCTCTGGGGGCAGGTCAGCTTTCCCCATGCCACTGCCCTCCTGACCAAGTTTGCGTTATTACAGGACAACTCTACCCACAGCCTCTACCATGGTGCCCCTCCAATCTCATTTCCACATGGGCCCAGAGAGACATTCCTAAGGCCTAAATCAGACTGTGTCATTTCTGTTTAAAACTGCTCTTTGCTTTTTCTTATACTCATGGCAAACTTCAAACTCCATCCCAGCATCAAGGGTCCTGCCTACCTAGCTGGTATTGTTACCTACTTACTCCCCTTGCCCCCATTTTCTCCTGCCATGGCTCTGTCATAGTGGATCTCCTTGTCTGGACTACCCCTACGTTCGCTGGGTGCCTAGGAGAATCCCTCTCTGGCTGCCCTGTTGCAGGGGCCCTGTGGGTCTCCCTCACCTCCCCCCTCCGCCAGTCCTGTACACACTAGGTCCTTAACGCCTGCAGAATAAACAGAACGAAGACAACGCCCTTTCCCGTTTCCTCTCAGAGGCACCCTCCAGCAGGGGAAGAGGACTTCTGGCTGGGCGTGTCCTCGGCACCTGGTCTCTCTGAGAGAGAAGCAGCCAGGAGGACAAGGCTGGTGTGCCCACAGAAAGCCTGGCCCAAGCGGAGTATCCCCGGACAGGCTACCGGGACGCGGAGAACTTTCTTGTTCAGGACGAGGGTGGGGGAGGTGCGAGCGCCCGGAACTCAGTCCCTATGGACCCCTGCCCCTGCGTCCTGGGAACAGGGAGCAGGGTGGGAGAGCCCCACGTGGGGGCGACTCGGAATCCCTGCCCCCGGCGCCTTGCAGGCTTCTTCCCTCCTCTCTCTCTCCATGCCCCGGTCCGGGCGCCGGGCTACCTGCAGCCGCCTCTCCCCTCCGGAACGGCGCGGCCTCCTCCCCACCCCCCCGCGGCCCGGCTCCCGGGCCCTGGCTCCGGCTTCGGGTCACCATCCTCACGCTCGCCATGCTCATGCCAGAGTCCTGCGCACTACACATCCCGGCGGCCCCCGCGGCCCCGTCATGTGACTCAACTTTCCGCCGAGAGCGGCCGGGAACTACCACTCCCAGCAAGCTCGGCGGCGGCGCTCGGGCCCTGTCCGCTGCCGGAAGTGCTGACCAAGCTTCCGGCGGCGCCTCGGGGGTTGGGGGGCCGGGGTTGCGTTCCCCTTTTTCGTGCGGGGACGGCCCGGCCGCGCGGCTGGCGCGGCATGGGGTGAGTGGCTCGCGGGCCCCCGACCGTCGACGCCGCCCCGGTCCACCGTGTGGCCCGGCCGCGCCGGGGAGAGGGGAGGTACTGTTCGGCGCAGAGGCGGCGGAGGCGGACCCCGCAGTGTCACGTCCCCGGCCTTCGGCCTGGAGCCGCTCGAGCAGTCCTGGATTTTAAGACGGAGCGGGTGCGAGGGGCCCCCAGCTTCCGGAGTCCGGGACAGGCCTCCCCCACGTCGGGGAGGAGAGGGAGGGCAAGCGTCGGTTCCCCTCCCTCACCCGGTGCCCGCTGCTGGCCGGGACCGCCAGGCTGTGCTTGAGTTCCTCCCGGGAGCTGTGGCAGGGTCGTGCCCACGCGAGGCCTAGGCTTCCCGGGCGGGCGGCCGGAGGTCGGCAGCGGGGCAGGTGCGGGGGAGCTGTCCTGAGCTCTCCGCCTGTTTTCTTGGCGCAGAAGCGGCCTCTGCTGTGTCCCTGCCCATCATGGCCAAGCCAACAAGCAAAGATTCAGGCTTGAAGGAGAAGTTCAGGATTCTCTTGGGACTGGGAACCCCGAGGCCAAACCCCAGGTCTGCAGAGGGCAAACAGACGGAGTTTATCATCACGGCGGACATCCTGAGAGTGAGTGAGCTGCCCTGCCTGCCCTGCTAGGCTGTTAGGAGGTGCAGGGCAGGCTGGGTTCCGTCTGTCACCAGGTTCTGTGGGAGGTGGGACTGCTGTCCCCAGTGCTGTGGAAGCCTGTACATCTTTCCTTCCGAGGTGCAGGAAGTCAGGACCTTGGGGACTGCGTCTAGCACACTTGAGGTAGTACTAGGATGTCGATGCAGGAGAACCTACTTTACTAGCCATGGCTGAAACGCCGTGCTTGGTTTCCACAGGTGATTAGGGTTATAGCCAGGTGTTAACCTGGTAATTTGTGAGTTTCTGGAACAAGCGGGTCTTTGTTTTCTGGTGTGTATTTGAGTCCCCCTACTACGTCCTGGCACCATGTTTTTTTGTTTTGTTTTTATTTTTTTTAAAGATTTTATTTATTTATTTGAGAGAGAGAGAATGAGAGATAGAGAGCACGAGAGGGAAGAGGGTCAGAGGGAGAAGCAGACTCCCTGCTGAGCAGGGAGCCTGATGCGGGACTCGATCCCGGGACTCCAGGATCATGACCTGAGCCGAAGGCAGTCGCTTAACCAACTGAGCCACCCAGGCACCCTGTTTTGTTTTTAAAGATTTTATTCATTTATTTGACAGAGAGAGACACAGCGAGAGAGGGAACACAAGCAAGGGGAGTAGGAGAGGGAGAAGCAGGCTTCCTGCAGAGCAGGGAGCCCGATGCTGGGCTCGATCTCAGGACCTGGGATCACGACGTGAGCTGAAGGCAGACGCTTAACCAACTGAGCCACCTAGGCGCCCCCTGGCACCGTGTTTTATAAATGCTGAGTTTCTGCACTCCTGAGGTTTCCCATTCAGAAACAACCAAAATATTCGTTAGCTGGTGAACAGATAAACAAAATGTGATGACATTCGTACAATGGAGTATTACTTGGCAAAAAAAGGCATGCAGAATTTTTTTTTTAGAAAGAATGTTTTTGTTTTTAAACAGTTTTTTTTTCATGAGAGACAGAGGGAGAGAGAAGCAGAGGGAGAAGCAGGCTCCCAAGGAGCAGGGAGCCCGATGCGGGACTCGATCCCAGGACCCTGGGATCATGACCTGAGCCGAAGGCAGATGCTTAACAACTGAGCCAGCCAGGCGCCCTAGGCATGCAGTATTGACACATACCGTAATGTGGATGAACACTGAAAACATGTTAAGTGGAAGAAGCCAGACACAAAGGCCCCCACATAATGTGTGATTCCATTTCTATGAAATGTCCAGAATAGGTGAATCCCTAGAGACAGAAAGTCGATCAGCATTTGTCGGGGCCTGAGGGGATGGGGGGTGACTGCTAACGGGTGTGAAGTTGTCCTTTTAGGGGATGAATATATTCGGGAGTCAGTGGAGGTGGTTGCAAGCCTCGTGAATATACTAAAAGCCAAACTGTATAGTTTTAAATTGTTCAAACAGCTAATTTTGGTATGTGCATTTTATTTCAACAAAACAAAATGTCATGAAAAAGAGAAGTAGTCTGTTCTCACCCCCTGAGACAGAGTCGTAAACTCTCGTGGTCCCCGATTTCAGAATGAGCCGGGCCAGGTCTCCAGTCTGGGAATTCTCGGGGTGGTCTGTGATGACTGGCGGTTAAGGAGAACCGTTGCCTGAGTGCTGGCCCCTTTGCTTCTTTCCTCTCTTGCCAGGAACTGAGTGTTGAATGTGGTATCAACAATCGCATCCGGGTGATAGGGCAGATCTGTGAAGTTGCAAAAACGAAGAAATTTGAAGAGGTAAGTCTGCCTCAGTTGGCTGCTGTTGAGAAGTCTGATTTGGCTCTTTCTAGGAGCAGGGTTGAACGCTGACTACTAATGCTAACTTACGCACCCTTTTAGGGGAGCTTCTGGAAATGCTCTGAGCATAACCCTTAGGGGTCACTCACACGTGGAGGGGGGAGCAAAGGCATTAAGGTTTTTCCGGCAGTTCCGAGAAAGGCTTTTTAATAGTGACTTGCATAAACGCATGCTTACTTGGTTTTTCGTATCCCAAGAAAGGTAAGGGAATATCAGGAAACCGCGTGACTCAAGGCATGCCATTTCCGGTGTCTTTTTGGGAGAGGTGTCTAGTTGGTGGCATTGAGCAACCTCACAGACATAAGCCTATTTATTTCGGGCAGATGTTTGCAGGCTCTCTTCGGGCATCCCGAGGACAGACTGGGAAGTTGTCATGAGGGCTCTGCTCTAGCTTGGCCCGGAGATTATATGGGCAACTTGGGAGGAGTTGTGGACCAAGCCGATTCGGATTTGCTAAGGGGGAGGGGAGAGCAATCATGACATCCACAGGTCATCTGAAACATGCAGGCCATACGTTACTGAGGATAAACGTGAACATAGGTTTCTGCGTCCATAAAGTTGGCTGCATAGGTATTTGGGGCGGGGGCTGTGACTGAATAGACAGATAACCCTGAGAGGCTGACAGAGTCCCCCGGGTCGGGATCTGTGTCTTGTGGCGTAGGCTTTGTCACTAGGAGTGTTGTGTGTAGGATAAAGGAGGTGAAAGTTCCATAGTATGCTGAAACGGTCAGGATGTGGGTTGGACAACATCCAAAGGATGTTTTAGTCCCCTCCTAAGAGAATTAAGTCCAGGAAAGTTTGAGTGGTCTGAAAACTCTGATTGAAGGGAGCACGGGACGGTAAATATGGGGCAGAGAAGGTGACAAGAGAGATTTATTCTGGGTAGCTGCAGGGAACAGGACCCAGGTACTCTGGGAGGCAGATTCCAGAAGCCCACAGCGTTCTCGGCAGCACAGGCTTGGCAG